CTTGTGGCGCGCGATAGCGCGGCCACATCGCTCTCCTGCTCACATCGGAGCTCGATGGTGCATTCTAACTGTCGACGAATGTGCAAGTGACAGGGGATTGCCTTGTAGTCGGCGGTGAATCGAGAAAAGGGTAAGTAAATAATCTGCGAGAGTGTGAGCGAGCAAGTAATCTGCAGTGAGTCGAGAAAAAGGCAAGTAACCTGCAGAGACGAGCAGTAAGGCTCAGAGCCGTGCCGAACACAGTAGTGCAGAGAGTAGCTTGAAGGAACAGGCAGCATTATTCCAATGCTACGATGAACCTTGTAAAGCTAGATGGCTTTTGCAGGATGTTAAGCCTACGGACGATATCTGTTCAGCAGCGAATGGATGAGGTTGACAGTAAAAAGTGTACTTTTTGTTAATGAAATACAGTCGCTAATGTTAATGGTAATGCTAAATCTGTCCCCGCCAGGCCTAAGTCTGGAAAAGTATAAAGGGAAGTTCATTTCATTGTTATGTAAAGTCGATCGATAAAACGAATTATTTAGTAAACCATTTTATACATTTCTAATCGTTGAAAGATATAAGAAACTGGAACCATTTCACTCCACGAAAACGCAATTTTATGCCATGTTGGATAAGTTTCGTCCTTTAAGCCGTCATCAAACCAGTTGCAACTACGACCGTTTTCGTCGGGAAAAAGGTTGTCTACCATCAGTCAAAAATTCGACAACGACCCACCAGTTTGGCCGTGGAATGAAAAAGGGAATTCTCTCACCGGGAAAGGTGTTCAGGCTGATGCTCCGTGCTAATTCGGAGCTGTTTTATATATATATATATATATATATATATATATATATATATATATATATATATATAGCGCGCGGGTGGCTTCGGAACTTTAATAGCGCGATTTATGCTTCGGTGCGTTTCACTTGAGGCGCGTGGGACATCGCCGACACAATTTCTTTATTAAAAACGAGCATGCACTCACCTGATGGTAAGATACTCTACCGCCATATATGAACATCCGCAACACAAGAGGAATTGCAGCCGAGTTATTTACATAAAAGGAATAGACTCTTTTTTTGAATGGTAGGCCTACATACCTAGTTCTCAGGTGAAAACGGTGGCTCTTAGGTACTTGGTACAGTGGCCTTCACAGTACCAAGTCCCAGCTTTGACCCCTCGTCCCGTAGGTAACCTGGGTATAAACTACATATATCTTTTCATCGGAAAATTCGTGGGTTATACGGTTTATCCATCCTAGGGTGGATACTCGGAAATGTATGTTCATCTATCTACCTCAGGCTGAGTTTATAATGATCGGAATTCATTTACTTGTTCTTCCAACTATTTACCCCGCATAAAGTAAGAGAGATGCTTGAAAGCAGTCTGTAGAGAAGTAGATGACGACCTATGGGGAAACGGCTACCGGATTGTCACTCAAAAAATTTTGGGCCGCAGTTCAGTAGCTCCCATGGAACCTGATAGGATGGAAGAAATAGTCCGAACTCAGTTTCCCGAACGCCAAGGCCGGATTTGCAACCAAAGTGCGGTATCCAATGACGAGTGCCCACTTTTCTCAGCAAGTTGCAGGAAGTTGTTAAGTCTCTCAAGGTAGGTAAGGCCCCGGGCCCTGATGGCAATCCCGTTGAGGTCTATAAGGTCATAATGAAAAGGTATGAAAATTATATTAAAACATCTGCATCTCGGCGGGAGTTTTACCGAAAATATGGAAGTTGCAAAGGTTGGTCCCGTCAGATAAAGGAAAGTGGCCGCCCTACACGCCTTCATTCTATCCTACTGGCCACTTTGTATGCTGGACGTAGCTGGAAAGATTTTCGAGATCCTTATAAGGAATCGACTGAGGGAAGAAGTAGCCGATGCGGGTGGTCTGGCCGATAACCAACACGGTTTTCGACCGGATCGCAGTACAATTGGTGCCATTTCCGAAGCGTTTTCATTTGTTAGGGCACAATTGACGTACTGGTGAAAAACTGGGCGTCAAAAACGTTAATTTTGGATGTTTGTCTTTAACTTTATTTTAAATTGTTTTATACCAAGATTGCAATGAATCTGTAATTCTGTGAGGACTTCTTTTATTTCAGCGTTGACCTTTGAAACAAGAAGTAATTTTTAAAGGTATGCTAACCTCTAAAGTATATTGGTAAAGTCAGAGCACATAGGCAAATTTGGCGAGAAACTAGTTCGCCTTCCTTCTGGAACCCGTGCATTCTGGTCTCTCGCCAAGGCTGTCCAGGGGAATTTCTGTCAGCCATCTCTTCCTTCTCTGCATAGGGAGGACGACACACTGGCACATACTGCAAAGGAGAAAGCCGATCTGCTAGGCTTTTTCTTTGCGTCCAACTCGACTCGATGACAGGGGGAGTACGCCGCCGACCATCCCGCGGTGTGAGTGCTCCATGCCTGAAGTGCAGTTCACACAACGCTCGGTTCGCAAAGCACTCCTCTCCCTGGACATTCACAAGTCGAGTGGGCCTAACGGAATCCCCCCAATTGTGCTGAGGACGTGTGCTCCAGAGTTGGCACCGGTTTTAACGCGTCTTTTCCGGTACTCCTACTCCCTAGGCGTAGTCCCAAAATCATGGAAGACGGCTTTTGTCCACCCGATCCCTAACAAAGGCGACCGCTCAAACCCGTCCAACTACCGGCCTATCGCCATCACCTCCTTGTTCTCCAAAACAATGTAGTCTATTGTTAACAGCCAGCTCATGAGGTACCTAGAGGATCACTAGCTGATTAGTGATCGCCAATACGGTTTTCGCCGTGGTCGGTCAGCTGGTGATCTTCTGGTCTACCTAACCCACAGATAGGCGCAGGCAGTAGAGTCCAAGTGGTAGGCATTGGCCGTTAGTTTGGACATTGCGAAGGCCTTCGATTGGGTTTAGCACAAAGCGCTTCTTTCGAAGCTCCCTTCTTACTTCTCTTCTTCCCGACTTAGCGACCTTCAAGAAAAGAGCTTACTCCTTTCTAAAAGGGCGGCAACGCACCTGCGATTTCCCTGGTGTTACAATAGTTCATGGGCGGCGGTAGTCACTTAACATCAGTTAAACATATGCTCGTTTACATCATGTTTCCATAAATTACTGTACACGGACGAGGGAGAGAATCGGAAGAAAAATAATAAATACAAGTGCCGATTATTCACGTTTAATAGCTCATGAGTAAGCGCCCATTCGTCCCTTATTAGACTGAGCTGGTTCAGTGCGCGTTGACCAAATTTTTATATGTCAGAAATAATTTAATTTCTGAGGATATGCAGGTTTCCTCATGATGTTTTCCCTCAATCTCATTATGAGTGAACCGAAGCGGGTACATACCGCTAAGTAGTACTAAGTTTAAAGCACTGCTAAACACAAGTTTTCAATTGGGACCACTACTATCCGGGGGTTGTCGTTCATAGGGATTACTAAATCTAAAAATATATGTACAGGTGAGTTTATAAACAATTTATTTACATCATAATACATACAGTATACATATTGTGACGTGTCTTCAGTGTTACCATCAAAAATAAAATACAAAAAAGAGATTGATAATAAGCTGTAAAATTGAGAAAATATTCGAGATGCCTTCGAAATTAATTTTATACATTTTAACAGAAATACACTTTACTTCTCTGTACAAAACATTATGTAATCCGCATACTTTAGTGGCATCAACTTTTTTTTCCTCCAAATTTTTAAATATTGAATAATTTGGCACGATGACGCCGAGTCAGAATCCAATTAATTTTATTATAATGCTGTTAAATAACAAGATAATATTTGTATAAGGAAAAATAATTTCTTTGGAATTAACAAAATATTCTCACCGAGTACTGACCGTGAACATTGTGATGCACAACAAACATTAAAATTGATACAAATACATATAAACATTATGTCATAGGTACAATGCGAACGACAAACATTTTCTTGCAATTACACTGCGTAATGCAAAACTTTGCAACATTTGACAACATTCAAACTCAACTTTGTGACTGAACAACCTGTATTTGTTCACAAGAGTGAAGAAAATTACGTAAACAGCAACATTGATAAACTTAATAATACCCTTAAATTATTTACAAAATGAAATTCGGTGTAAATGTTTACGGTTTCGTTTTTAATAAAAGCATCGTAGAATTTATTCGATCGAGATGTCGTACATTCGCCTTAAATTATTACAATTTAACTAATAATACATTTTAACGCTTACGCTAAATCAGTCTAATTCTTAAAGCGACAATATGTCTCACAATAAAGTTTAAACGAATGCCGTAAATCAAGCACTGGAAATTTCATCATCACGGAAATAAGGCCACAAGGTTCTTTATATTAAGGTTAAACCAATCAATTAACCAGTCGCAAGTAAAATATACAAATTAATTAAGTTAACCAATTAACAACTATGATTTATAACAGATGCTATCATACAAAAGTAATTAATCTAAGTTAATATGGCGGTTCATCATTATTAAACAAATGTGAATTAATAATTCAGAATTAAGTTTCACATTCAAAGGATTTAATTTTAACAGAGGTTCCAAAGATAATGAAAAACTTGCAAATAATGCAGCACTCTAATATGAATGCTACTAGGTCATTCATAACATTTCACAATATATTTAACCACAAAAATAATGCACCTGTGTCATGTAAATATATAATATATTATAATTGTAAAGATCAGGCTTACTGTCACATCAAGCCCAACATCCAAAATAATTTAAAGCTTATCACATTACTTACACTCTGTGTAAATTTTATTCCGACATGAATACTCCATTTGATTAAGCCCATATCATATTTATTAGCACAAATACGTAAATCAATTACTTGGTACGGAATTATCGAAACTGGAATTTACATAAAATACAGATTTGAAGTATTTACAATAATATTATATGACACAACTCGCACCAAATATAATTGGTGAAGGAGAGCTATAATTACTGAGATAATAATACATATCCTTTGTGATTCTTTTTGTTTTTTAAATATAAGTAAGTTAGGTCACAAACGCATTTCCCATAAGATCAAATGTGCGTCTTTAGGGTTAGGATCAGCAGCAGGGACTGGCCTTTCTGAGGCATCTGCCGTCTGCCTCCAGTCTACATACCCTCGTCCACCCATTACAGTCACAACGGAGCGTCTCGCTGCACTCTCTCCAACGATGTAATCAGTAGCACGGAGACTTCTAGCAGCATTCTTACTACTGGCTCTTACTTCCACAGCTGTGGCGGAATCGCTTCTGGATATAGAACGCTCTGAAGCTGAGGATTTGCCTGAAGACGAATCCGGTGTTGAAACGGCAAGAGGGGCGAGATTGGCTGCCCCAGAAGCACCGGAACTAGTACGGGATATCCCACGAAGTGCCATGGACTCCTCGCTGCCTGATGATGTACACAAGCTAGAAGCTCTCGAATCCACGGACCAACTTGAAAGGTCCAAACTCCTCGGCCTTCCTGCTCTCATTCTCAGTCGTCGATCCAAAGTACTGACGCGGAATGGTATAGCCGCTAACTCTGGATCGCTTCTTCGCAATGCTTCACCCCCGGATCCGTTCACATCAGCCTCTCCAACACAGTCCTTCACGAACATGAGATCACCGAATAAGCCATAAACGTCACACGCGTTCAAATTCGCACATTTCGGCAATGTTTTACTTAAACGCACATCTCCCGGCTTTTTGCGTCGCACTATCGCTGACTGGACACGTTGTGGTCGGTACGGGCTCGACTCTTCTGATATCCTCCGTTCAAGCTTTGGTTTGTCGAGATCATCTTTTGTTTCCTCCTCTTTAAACTCCTGCAGCGCGTTATTGTCAGCTAGAGCGCGGACGTTGGAAAGGTTCCGTCTTACTACATTAACGTCTACTTCTCTGTTTTCTGGGAGCAGAGACAGCAAGAACGTGACGGGACCTGCGTGCGCGTGATATGATACAGCGATATGTCCGCCGACAAGTGGAAGTCCTTCTAATTTTGGTAAAGGTACAGTCACACTAACACCTGCAGTCGTCCCGACCCATAAAAGCCCTTGGCTTGCTAGTAAAGCGGACACGTAAGCCGGTTTACTGCCCTCCCTAGCTCCTATGGTCTTAGCGACATCTGCGGCTATGTCAATATTTTGCAAATGCTCGAAAGTTTCTGCGTGGTACAGGCTAACATAGGTTGAATCTGAGAATGCCGTCCAAAGACCAACTCCAGAGTGTGCCAAGTACTTTACGGAATGGTTACCATCCCCTTTAAGATCTAAGATGCGCATTATTTCAGCTGTGAGAGCGTTTATGGCGAACACGCGTCGGCCACAAGTTGCGTAAACTATACCATCAACTGGTAGAACACAATGGACAGGTTTATCGCCCAGTTCTATACAGAGAGGTTCTTGTAAAGCCCAAGAGTCATCGTTAATCCTCCTGTACACGGAAACTCTTCCGTTAGCGAGTCCCACGAACATTGAGTCGCAGTGGTAGCGTATCTGCATGACGGCTGCGACTGTCTGCACTTCTGTCAACTTCTCTTGCTTCTCCGGCTCGACGCCGGAGAATATGATTATCTTCTTGTCCTCAGTGCCGAGCCACACTGTGTCGCCGCACAGCGTGGTCACTTGTCGAACTCCTTTTGCATATTCCATGGAATTAACCTGCGCAAAGATAAAAAATACAATCTTCATTAAAACGTTAGTACCAGTAATTGCGGTTTTAGTAAAAAACACGTTAAAAGCATAATAAATTATCAAGGGTCCACTATACTCCTTTGAAATTCAGAAATTTAAAGTTAAAATGACGATATAAGTAATAAATGTAAGTTAAATTAGACAAAAACAAAGATTTAAAGTTTTCCTATTGTTTATTATATATACGTATATACTGGTGTTTTTTTTATTATCTAGTGAAGCAATATATGGAGAACGCCAAAGACTATATAACCACTTGACTGCGCATACAGTGCCCCGACGCTCGAAAACTATTAGTATTTTGTCGCCTATGCATCGGCTATGGTACTATTAACCAATTTAGTATTGTCCAAGTGTTAGACCTGTGTGCACGCTAAATTAATGCAAATTTTTATAACTTTTATGCAATTATAATGCATCAAAATGCGCGTTGAAGTGGTGTGGGAAACATTCCAGGACAGATGTCCAAAAAGAATGTAGTAACTTTTCATTGCTAAGTAAAAAATACGAAAATTATTGTTGATTTATTCAAATTAAGAGCCATTGTAGGGGTCTATCTAAAACGGTGGCCGGTAAGTAACGACATGGTTGAGTCGCGCGTTGATGTCTTTTGGAAAAGTCTCGTTCTATTATTAGACAATTCTAATGCTTCTATCCCTTTCTTTCCCTTTGTATGTTTATCGTACACATTAGGACTTACTGTTACCTTTAATAGCTCAAAGTCGATATCGAAAATAATAAAATAAAAATTAATAAAAAGATTATTCAATTCACACACTGTGATAAAATACTTATCTACCTTAAACCGTCTCCAGAAAAAGAGGAGGTTCTCAGTCTGTCGGTATTTTTTCTTAGTTAAAATTTATAGTTACCTAGTTAAATTAGTTAGATTGGTGTACCAAATCAGAACGGCTTACAATTTCAAAAGGACACTAAAAACAAGTTATTGTACGGATCCACTACAGTAATATATATTTGTCGTCGTTGTAAAATTTTTAATAAGAGAGCGAACAGTGAGAGTGGTTCAAAAGTGCTGTCTTCGAAATATAGTACCAATTATTTTATGAGAACGGTTTTTAAAATCTCTGATTAGGTATTATTGATTCCCGTATATTCATTTTCATCAATTTGAAATAGAATCAACAAATCATTTAATTTAATTAGCAAGATGCATAATTTACAAATATGTAGACGCTTGTTTAAATTTTTTTACAAAGAACAATCAGGACCCTTAAACTTTAATTCGAAATAAATATAACAAATTAATTCATTTTAAAAATCAATAATAATATAATAAATAAATGTTTTCGTTGTAACCGATTGATTTTGATTAAATATTATTTCTATAATTTTAATTGAGTATTTTTCATAATGATAAAATCCATTTTATCGATAACGAATATTTTCCTTTATTAAGAAGAGCAACCCTAAAGATAGCCATAACAACGTAACTTGACCATTTGCAGCCATGCGTTCTTCCTCGCCCCCCGGCCCGCAGTAGTGAGTCGTATGCTTAGAAGAAATCTGCCTATACGCTCTCTAGTGGTTATATTCTCTATGGAGAACGCCTATGTTCCGCAGTGGACTTTTGATAGGTTGTAATGACGATGATGATGATGATGATATAGAGGTTGACTGGCAGAGAACACCTTAAAGGCCTAAAGTCCGCCTTTGTAATTTTTTTGTACAAAACATATGATGATGATGAGCATGACTTTCGTATCGTATCGAATTTGTATCGCCATATCGACTTGTGAAGGGCTGTAGGTAATGAATGAAAAAATACTAAAAATCACTTTTACGAGGGCGGCACTGAAAATTTCGGAAATCAAGGAAGTGACACAACATTACTATTTAAAAATGTATTTATTGCTTTTCGAAGTATTCTCCGCGAAATTTGACACATTTTTCCATACGATGGAACCAATCATTGAAGCAACCATTCCATTCGGAAGTTGGGGTCTCCAAAATGGCCGCGTTTTGTAGGCGTCCACAGCTTCTTCAGGTGATGAAAATCTCTGTCCACGCAATTTATTCTTTATTTTAGGGAAAGTATAGAAATCATTAGGGCTTATGGTCGGGTGTACTGGATGATTGGATATTGTATGGTTGATTGTATGTGTGATGGAGGATGATGCGGCGGTTGCAGTTCTCTTTACGGAGTTCAGAAACGACTTGTGGCAAACAAATGCTAGCATACCATTCTGCATTAACCGTTCTTTGTCCCTCAAGAGGAATAGTCGTAACATGGCCGGTTTTTGAGAAAAACGCGGCAACCATTTTTTTTGCAACACCCCGTGAACGAACAATTTTTGTTGGCTTTAAGTCATTTTCGAACACCCAAACTCGTGACTGGTTTTTTGTTTCGGGTTCGTACGCGTATATATCTAGGATTCGTCACCTGATACGACGTTGTATACAGCATTTGAGGATCCTGCGTGGAATATTTCGAGAGTTCTGACGCATCAAGTAATGCGAGCCGCTTTTTGCTCTTCACAGAGCGAATACGGTATCTATCGGGAAAACAACTTTTTTACACCTAATTGTTCATGCAAGATTATTTGTATTTGACTCATGCCAATGTCTAAAGTTGCCTGAATTTCGCGGTATGTCACATGTCGATCTTCCTCAATCAGCTTACGCACAGCATCAACGTTTTCTTGGATGACTGCGGTTTTTGGACGACCTTGACGGGGATCATCACTGAGCTTGACACGTCCACGTTGAAATTCAGCAAACCAGCGATAAATTGTGATTTTGGGTGGGGCTTCATCATCAAATGCAGAAATCATCCGGTCAACACACTGTTTTTGTGTTAAAACACTTCGAAACTCATAATAAATCATCGCTCTTCAATTTTCTCGAGTCAATTCCATTTTCACAATGACTAAACAAGTTTGACAAAACCTTGAGACAAGACCGAGAATCTTTTTTAAATAAATAAATGGTATTCGATTTTTAAAACCAAGGAGTTTTCAATTAAAAATATTTTAATATGACAGGAACAGTGGAAATATTCCATTCCAGATACTTTTAGTGCAGCCCTCGTACCAACGTTGAACTTATGTGGAATTTATGATGATTTGTTTATCGATAAATAATATCGTCACAGTCCTCGCCTTACGTTGCTTACGCATGTAGACAGCGACACCAGTGTATCGACACGTGTACAATTTGATGGTATGCGTAGTAAACACATGCTGTAGTGTGCGTGTATAGTGAGTGACGCGATTCAATTTTGCATTTTTAGCGAAGTATACAGTAGTGTGCTTTTTTTGCGCCCCCCTGACATTGACAGACTTTTTTGTTTAGGAATTTACGCACATGGCTTCTCCAGTTGTCTTAATACTCAAAGGTATTACCAAATCTTTTGAGCTCACAATTATTTTTATAAATTAATTTAAAACATGAATATTAGTGGGTAGATAGTTATAAATATCTACATATATTAATCTATGTTACATATTTTTAAGGGAAAGCAGCAGTGATGATAATGATGGCAATGATAACAACTACTCAGACAGTGAAGCGGAGACGAGCGAAATTGAAATGCTAGATTCAAACTAATACTATTCGTTTATGGTTCTTTTGTAATTACTGGTTTGAATTACAACTGTGACGTCACAATACGGCGCAAGGTCAGTCTTATTCTTATTTGAATCGCAAATCGCATAGAAGTTTTTGGCGGTAAGCTGATAAGGGTATGTGTGTGTGTGAGTCGGTACTGACCTTGGTGTCGGGCAGATCGAGCGTGACTAACGTCTTGAGCGTGGCGGCGCGGTGCGCGAGCACGGCCACGTGGCTGTGTGCTGCGCCGCCCGCCGCGCCCCCTGCGCCGCCCGCTCCCCCCGCGCACACCCACAGCAGCGAGCGCGCGCGCCGGGACAGCGCGCCACGCGCCAGCCCGCCACTACGGTAGAAGCACCCGCACCGCACCTGCCGCACGAAAACACGCTCTCTATACTACAGTTTTTTTAACATTTTGACGTAAATACATCTTTAAATTTGCTTCCATAGTGGGGAAAAAAAAAATCGGAAAACTAATGATAAATAAATCGGGGAATACAGTTTGGTGTTACAATTACATATCCGACGTCAACATTCAAAATTTAATCACACCACTTGATAGCTAAAGGATCAAAGTATTCGTTACGTTAAGAGAGTGACACTGTGACGCATCACTCGCAACGGATAGAGCAACGCCGCCATTTTGACATCGTTTCCTTACGTAAACATATTCACGTAAAGCACACGACCGTACCCACGACACAGCCACACCCCGATTTAAATGATGGTAAGTGGATGCTTAAGATGAAATGCCTGTTTCCAGTGAAAAGAGTTCCGGTTTTTTCACTCACCAAACGTAATAAAAGATTTTGAAATTACGAAATAAAAAAATTTGCTATCGACTACTTTTTATTACTAGGCCATTTCATTTAACCTTATCATATGATGAGTGCAATAGACCATAGGCAGCTCTCTAATAAAAAGTTTCATGTATTTTTCTTCTCGTAATTGTCTTCTGCTGCCGTATCTATATTTATATATACCCATCGATATATATGTACTGCGCACTAGATTTCGCATTCCGAACACTCACTATGTTCAACTGAACTGTACTGCAATCCGTACACCTGTTATTGTGGCTTCGATATTCATGCAGTGCGGAGCGCCGCTAATAATAATTTTATATTAAATTAGCACATAATATCCAAAATAAACGAAAATTTAAAAAATGTACTCTATTAACAATACAATCTAAATAAACAATTATTTATTATGACAATTTTCGCGCTTTTACATCAACTGCGCATGCACGACTCTACTGTTTCCCGCGCATGCGACGGCTACTTTCATTACAACTTTGAGTATAACGTCTCCACAAATTATAACCTTAATTATGGCACGTCTGTGAGACATTTATATCAGTACCTACCAAAAAGTTGTAGAAACAGAAACATAAACTTTTTTATTCAATATGGATTCTAAGTAATATTTATTGAAAGTCACTTTTTTTCTCATTGTCACACTAGTTCCAAAAAAAAAAAAACCTCTGTCCTGGGAAGAACCAGCAAGAAACCCAGCGGGACTATTTAAAAAAAATAAAAGCTTACAATCATGTACGTTACAATTAACAACACAAAACAAATTAGAAATAGGTTGGTAGCGATTACCTTTCCCAGGGGTTATTATCACATTTGTGATACAACCATAATTTAGCTGCAGCGTCACTTGTGTACTCTCGTAACACGTGTAAAAATGAAGAATGAAGAAATGCCTACGCATAACCGCCTGGCGGAGGTAAGGATGAATTATGTCGGACTCGCACTGACCAAAACCCAATGGTTTTCCATCCCCGCCGTATATTGGCAGAACCACCAACTCCTTTCCCTTGTCTTTCTCAGATAAAACGCACCAGAATACTAGACACACCTTCATCCGCAGCTTTGTAACTCCATCTGCATAGAGGGTTCAACCTAGACACTAGGTGCACCAGCACGACACAACAGTGACACGAGCGGCTCGTCACTGACCTCAGTGAGCTGCTTGGAGCAGTAGGCGGGCGCGGCGGTGACGTAGAGCGGCGCGGCGTGGTGCGGCAGGCGCTAGGCGGGCGAGTTCGCGGCGGCCTGCGCCAGCTGCGCGAGCCGCAGCTCCGTGGCGCACGCGAGCCGCGCGCCCGGCTCCTGCGCGCGGAACGTCACTAACCTCGGTGAGCTGTTTGGAGCAGTAGGCGGGCGCGGCGGTGACGTAGAGCGGCGCGACGTGCGGCGCGGCGTGGTGCGGCAGGCGCCAGGCGGGCGAGTTGGCGGCGGCCTGCGCCAGCTGCGCGAGCCGCAGCTCCGTGGCGCACGCGAGCCGCGCGCCCGGCTCCTGCGCGCGGAACGTCACTAACCTCGGTGAGCTGTTTGGAGCAGTAGGCGGGCGCGGCGGTGACGTAGAGCGGCGCGACGTGGGGCGCGGCGTGGTGCGGCAGGCGCTAGGCGGGCGAGTTGGCGGCGGCCTGCGCCAGCTGCGCGAGCCGCAGCTCCGTGGCGCACGCGAGCCGCGCGCCCGGCTCCTGCGCGCGGTACGCACTAACCTCGGTGAGCTGTTTGGAGCAGTAGGCGGGCGTGGCGATGACGTAGAGCGGCGCGACGTGCGGCGCGGCGTGGTGCGGCAGGCGCCAGGCGGGCGAGTTGGCGGCGGCCTGCGCCAGCTGCGCGAGCCGCAGCTCCGTGGCGCACGCGAGCCGCGCGCCCGGCTCCTGCGCGCGGAACGTCACTAACCTCGGTGAGCTGTTTGGAGCAGTAGGCGGGCGCGGCGGTGCCGTAGAGCGGCGCGGCGTGCGGCGCGGCGTGGTGCGGCAGGCGCCAGGCGGGCGAGTTGGCGGCGGCCTGCGCCAGCTGCGCGAGCCGCAGCTCCGTGGCCCACGCGAGCCGCGCGCCAGGCTCCTGCGCGCGGAACGTGAGCGGCTCCTCGCGCCCGCGGATCGTCAGCTGCAGGCAGCACGAGTCCACCCACGCCATCTCGTCGTCTTTTTTCTGCATAACAACGAACTGACGGTCATGCTATGCGCGTTCGCTGACGATTTCGCTCTCTAAACGTCAACTTTTATGATATACCGACGTTTTAAAATTGTTATTACGTATATTATGGAAAATACACGGCAAAATACAAATGGCGGCCACGAGCATTTTAAAATTAATAAACATTTAAATATTAATATCTACATTTATTATATATATATATATATATATATATATATATATATATATATATATATATATATATATATATATATATATATATGTATCTCCGAAAGTAATAGGACGGTAATTAAATGAATGGATATTTGATGATACACTAGTATTCCTTTGTTTTGTCTCTGGATAACAAGGCTAGAACAAATATTTTGTTTACGATGCAATCCATGTCATCACTGCCACGTTTTGTTTCATAAGTTATTTTAAAAAATAAGAATCTTTGAAAATAACTGAAATCGTCCAGTTATATCACCGTTACATATATCCAGCAAACAAGTTAAACGAACATTCCCACCCCCAATCCACCGATGATACGCCCCTCAAGTTACACCGTGTATACGTGCTACTGCTGGGCACAAGTCTCTTCTCATTTTTGAGAGAGTTTCTTAGGGCAAGGAAATGCTTGTTTACACACTTCACATGTATTTGAAATATTTTTTTCCTTATTTCTCAGACATGCAGGTTTCCTCACGATGTTTTCCTTCACTGTCGAGCACGTGATAAATCAGCACTTAAAATTGCAATTAATAATTTCTAAGGTGCCGGCGGTGATCGAGTTTACTATCCAGGATACTCGAGTTCTGTAAAATTTACAGCGATCGCTTATCCTCTGAGCTATCACGGCTCAAGGGCTAAGCGATCTAGAAGCAAGAAATAAAACAAATAATTAAATGTTGGAAGATTTCTATCAACAAAGATGCTTGAGTCGAAAAACGTATTGATTCGCATTATTAGTAAATTCTGTACGGATGAACATGACTACAGTGATAGAATGTTTGAAATGTTTTTGTGAATGAGATACTTGTGCAGTCACTTTGATGTAGCATCGATAATTCAACAAAATTATACCCTTCGTCTTATATATATTTTCATAAACAAAATTCAATATTTTCAAAGTAAAAATAGAACAATTGTAATCATACTGACCTGTATACTCTTTTGTATATTTTGCAGTAGGGCTTTGAACATTTCAGGTGCCAACTCGGGGTACGGTGTTTTCAAGGAAGCTGCTAAATCGGCCATCCTCGACACCATTTCATAGTCATGCATTAACGCTGACATCTCATTACATAGAGAATCACCCGTTGAGGTATTGCTATGCCCGTTGATACCAGAATTTGAACGTAAACTTCCGCTGCGATTCATCCCTGCAATTATATTTTCAGATTTTTATATGTATTCGCGATATATTATGACGATGTTTGGAAAATTTTATATCATATTTAGCTCTTAATTCCAAAATATAAATTAACTAATACATAAAATGTTAAAAGTAATTTTATTTATGAATTACCGTTAAACATGAGCAATACTCCAAAGCGTAAATAAAAAATCAACGACAATCTACATAAAATTATACTACTCAGCTACCTACATTCATTAGCCGAAGCGTACTTTGTGTATGCGAATTACATTCTACTCTATCCCTTGTAGTTAATAAGGCACAAACAATAGAACTTAATCGTATTGTATGCACAATGCATACGAGATAGCTGATCGTAAATTATTTGTATGGTCCACGAGAATACACAGGGTAAATTGAACCTAATCATCGTGCATATAAGAAGAAGTTTTCTCTGTACGAGTATCACCCCGCATTGGGTACGTGCCGGCGTTGGTCCATGAGAATTTAATGACTTTATGATTGAGTCAAATCGCCGTGCACACAAAGCAGGGCTTGACCTGCACGAGTAATCAACTATGCAACTTCGTGGGCGAGGTGCTGTAGTCGGTCTGAGAGAAATCAATGACAGCAATCTATAGTCCGCTCGCGTTAAGAAAATAGTGAGTCATCGGGTGCGTTTGGCAGAAAAAAGCGCTAGCAAGCGCTTGTAAGCAAAATGGCGATCGTAAGCGGTAAGCGCTGTCAAATCGTAAGTAGCTATTTTCCTCCAGGACACGATGTTAGTTTTAACCGGGGAACCTAACCTAATTTAAATATATGTTTGTAAAGTATTCATATTAAAAACTTATCAATCATGAATTTTTAATAACATGTAAATGTTTATTCATGTCATTATATTACTTAAAACTAATATTGCACAAAACAACTTATAAACTCTACTTCAAAACAAACAAATTAAATAAGCAAAATGGCGGATTGTGTCAGCGCTACTGAAGTAGCAATCGTGTCCTGGCCGAAAACTATTTCAGCGCTTGTAAGCGCTTGCTAGCGCTTTTTCTGCCAAACGCACCCATCGTTGTCCGCCGGCCTGGCCACGCCCCCCAGCCAATTAAAATGCAAGAAATTAGATGAGTTCAAGTGACCAGTTGAAGTCAGGCCTACGAACAAAACGGTTGTGTATTTTGCGTGTTACTCGTTCAACATTAAATTTTGAAAATGAATACCTCACCTATTCGAAAGAATAAAAGTGGATCAATAATCCATAGCGGAGAGAGATGCGTAATTTACAATGTTTATAAGTACTTTAAACTGTGTGATTTAAATGCGACTGTATAACCTAAAAATATTATAAACCTACTCGCAGTGCGTAAGTTAGGGTTTACCCCGTATACGTATGTTGTTTTACACGTGGTAGAGCCATGTTGCAGTTATGGTTGTAGCACGAATGGGTCGGCTCGACCGGTGAAGGACTACGCTCTCACAGAATACCAGCGTATAATTGCAGCCCAATGCTGGTGTTTTGTATAGTGAGAGTAGAGAACCGGAGACCCTTTTTACTGGATACAAAGCATTCTATGTTAGGCATTAGGGTTGACAACGCATCTGCATTTTGATTCCTAATAGAGGATAGATGTAGATGTCCTGGGCCACAGCATCCACTTACCATCAGGTGGGTTATGTGCTCACTTGTCAACCCTATTCTATAAAAAAATGAGGAAGCGACTAAGTGAAAATGGTGTGTAACGTCTATAAGAAAATCAATCACAATGTAAATTGAATCTTATCGCAGTACATGCGGCAATGTATGTACTGCACGAGTATGTGACTTAGAGTGAGTAGTGTCCATGAGATATCAATGACATTGTAAACTGAATCTAATCGCAGGCCACAAAAGGTTGAGCTTACCCAGAGTGAGCACATGGCCGTGCGTAGGCGAGATACCAGTGTCAGTGCATGAAAAATCAACGACATTGTAAACTGAATTCTATTGCAGTGCACAAAAGGCAGAGCTTACATTGCGCGAGCGGAAAGCTAATTATGGGAGAGGTACCAGTGTATGTCCATGAGATATCAATGACAACGTAAACTGAATCTAATCGCAGTGCATACAAAGTAGAGTTTACAATGCGCGAGCAGAAAGTTGATTGTGGGTGAGGTGTCCCCTGTACATGAGATATCTATGACAGTGTAAACTGAAGCTAATCGCAGTACAAATAAGGCTAAGTTTATTCTGCACGAGCAAGCGGCTGATTGTGGGCGAGATTCCGGTGTCGGTCCATGAGATACCAATGACAGTGTGTAGTGAATCTAATAGCAGTGAAAATAAGGCGGAGTATACCTTGCGCGAGCACGCGGCTGAGCGTAGGTGAAGTGCCGGTGTCGAGCACATCGACGTCGTGCACGGGGTGCGCCCACTTGAGGCCGAGGCGCTCGGCGTCGTCCCCGCCGGCGCCCACCGACACGCACACCACCAGGTCGTTAAGCAGCAGCAGCCTCCGCGGCTTGCACTTTGTCAACGCGCCCGATTGGTTGAACTCCTGGAAAATTGGAAATGTTTATGAGTCCTGTCCACGAATATATTTTACGGAGCAACACAAATTTAGTGGACCGTAGAAACTTAGCATTTATTAGTTTTCAATAGAAGAATAAAAATTAATAGTTGTGTACTAATTAAGGTCTTTTTGCATTAATTTCTCTTGTTGGCAAAATGCAATGCAAAATATTTTGTAAACATATTGCCATATTATTCTTTATTGCAAAGTGATTTTAACCAGAAACTAAAAAAATATTTGTTCACCTGAATTGAAATCTTTTTATACAATAGGTTTTGTTGCAATAGGTTGCAACACGAATTAAGTCGGCTCGTCCGAGGAATGAACACGCTGTCAATGAATACCAGCGTAAAAAAGAAGCTTAAAGGTTGACTCACGCTAGACCGAATCGGGTCACCGAGCCGGTCCCGTACCTGAAATTACAAAGACGGGCCTCGACCGAGTAATTATCGTTACGCTGCGATAGAGTATACTCGTTCGAGCAAAAAATTCGCAAGTTATAACTAGACTACAATCATCTTGAAGTTTGACTATCTGGAATTAGCGGCTATTGCGATCGCTCTGGACGATGAAGAATCTGATAAATCTTCAACTACAAGTCGGGACCGAGTTGTTGCCAAGCGTTGTCCGTTGCTGGGCCGTCTCTCGGTTTCCGGTCGGTATAGCGTGAGTGTGTCCACAGTCCACACAAAATATATGTAATATTAGTTGACCGTGCTACGACTGACACTGTCTAGCGTGAGTCATCCTTAAGAAGTGAGAGTAAGTCAGCTCAAATTCTAATGTCGCCCCCACTTCCCCGCGCGTCGTATGCTATGTACCGACATGTTTGTAATCAATAATACTCTAAGTACATAGGTCGTTAGATACTTATTTCATTAGGTTTATCGTATTTATGCCTGTTTCTTAACGCTAACCCAGTCGCTTCTTATTTTTATAACGGTTATTTCCTATTTTAATTTTACGTATTCCTGTTGCGTAATGTGTTTTCTGATCGTAAGCGACACAACTTCTCCCTTCAAAAGCCGGAGCAATACTAACGGGGCGACAGGAATCAAGCTTACGCGCCGATAGTTTAGGTAATTTCTTTTTACAGTGAAAATAATGGTATTTAAAAAAAAGTAAATAACAAAAGCACTGCTTTATAGTTAGTTCAGTTAGTATGCAAAGTTTCATGATCTTATTTAAAGTATTTTATGAATAACAGCGGTTTAATGTTCAGTTTGGAGGTAACTTTGGATTTTTTTTCTATCGAGAAAATTTTACGGAATCGTGTTTTCGTCTAACATAAACCTTAACATTAATTCTCAACTTTACCATATATTTATTTCAAAATTAATGCTGCAATACTTTCGGCATAACGGAGGATCTTGCTAAGCCATTTGAGGTTATATTTCCCCTTAACGCTGGTGTGTTTCGTGTGTGTGAATAACCTTTTTACTGGCAACAAGGTAATCTATTTTTATCCTCAGGGGTGGTAATGTATCTACATCTTCTATTATTTTGTTGAAGATAAGTTCCAATCCATTCCATCAATCGACTGCCTGCGTGTTTCATTAAGACGCTACATTATCGAGTAGGGAATCACCAACATTGCGCTTTCTACTACGATACTAATCGCTGATGCTGGTTTGTTATTTAACTAAATAAAAAAGTATATTTTTTTACTTATTTTGGATGATCATCCTTTTTTGAGGATCATCGATTTTTTTAAAGGATTAAGAGTGATAAACGAGCACACAGTCCACCATATGGTAAGTGGATGCTGTGGTTCATAAACATTTATATCTATTCTCAATTAAGAAACTCTGAGCACAAGGTGAAATGCAGCGTTACACAACATTTCACTCATCGTAAGTAACATAGCAACATTCATTTTAAATTTTCAATACAGCCCTTGACAGGTCAACTGATGAATATAGGCTTTTCCCAAGGAATGCCACAAAGCATGGTCTTGAGCCACCTGCGTCTATCGATTACCTGCATGTCTTACCAGGTCAGCACTCTATCTAGTGGGGGTCGTGCTACACTTCGCCTACCAGCACGAGGTACGATGCTGACTGCATCACTGGCACAGCATTATTCTGGTATTCTGTGAGTACACACCGAAACCTAAATCGCGCTTTCAAAGTTCCGAATCATAAACAGTATATATAGAACAGCTCCGAACTATTACACGGAGCGTTGGCCGCTCCCCGGGCAGAACACCTTACCCGGCGGGAGATCTCCCTTTTTCCTTCTACGGCCACAAGTGTATTCCGCTAGTATAAGTTAGGTAAGTGGGTGAGGTGAGATGTGTGTGCGCTGTGTGGTGTCCGCTCACCAGCTGCAGCAGGTCGTCCTGGCGCAGCAGGTGGCGGCGGTCCGCGCGCGAGGCCAGCAGGCGCGCGGCACCGAAGCGCGCCGTGCCGCCCGCGCCGCCCGCGCCCGCCACGCCGCCGCGCGTCAGCCGCCGCAGCGCCGCGCGGAACGCCTGCGACACACCCACCGCACACGTTTATTCAAAATAATATACCTATGCATTGACAAAATGCACTAAGCTTTTTAAGAGGATACCTTGAAAATGAATCGTAGTTTTGAAGGTGTGACTTATTCCTTTGTCGGTGAAGCTCACGGACGACTGAGGGATTGTCAAAATTAAAGTGATGCAATGACTTCACAATACGTAAATTATGAGATAGCTATACCGAGCACACGCTCGGAAAAAACTAAGTAAGCGCCAAACAACGTTTTTATTTTTTTTAACAAAACTACTTAATGGATTAAAAAAGTGGGAACTTAAATATGATTATTTACTATGCCTTAAAAATAATTCCATGAACTTATTTGTAATAATATTGTGGTGTCATGGGAAAAATGTAACTAATTAGAGCCTACTTTGCAATTTTTTTCTATCGTGAAAATTTCATGATATCATGTTTTCCTTTTATGTAATCTAAAAAGCTTAAAAAAATATGTGAAATAGAAAAACCACTAAATTTTCGAGGTATCACCATAAATTTAATGAGTGATAGCACCAAACCAATTATTTTTTTATAATAATATTATTTATTCGCCTAATCTTGGTACATGTTAGTTTTCTATAGAAGAATAAAAATTAATATCAGTGACAAATTGCATATTATACATATTACATAGTCCACATGTTTACCACATCTGGCATAAGAAAATTATTAACCAAGCAAAACAATCAATAATGTACCTAAATTAAATAAAATCCGAAAAATTACTGAATACAAAAACAAGTAGTATCCCATATTCAAATATATTTTTTTAATGTATGCTCACCGATTATTCGTTAACGACTGAACCGATTTAAATTATTTTCTAAGCAAATAAATAATATATTTATACTACAAAGGCAAAATTTGCATCTCTTACATCAATCACGCGTTCTGATATACAATTGAAAAGAGTAAACAATTGAAAAGAATAATAGAATTAAAATTTTTTTTTTTTATGATTTGGCAACCCAAATTCAACTTTAAATCTGTATCACGTAAAAATGTAATAATTTGGGTAATTAACAACCCTGATTTACGTATATTACCTTAACATAATTAGCTATTATAATACGCTCATGATACATACTGTATCCAATATGTACATATTTTTGCATATTTAAATTTATGATGTTCTAGAACTTTTCTAGCGAATAGATACATTTTATACTTTGAAAAACATTCCACTATATAAAACTTTTACAAAAACTACCGATATAAAAAGTTGAAATAAAAATGTAATTAGTCTTATTCGTCCATATTCAAGCCGTGTTTTTATTACACTTTGCATTGCAAAAGAATAGTTTTTTATTTCTAACATATGTATTTTTATATTTTGATGTTAAAATAACTTCAACAGAGTGATGCTTCATAATCACACAGCAAATCACCAGTTTTAATGTTTTTGTTCAGTTTTAAACATTAATTACCATTAGCTGTAAGCTCCGAACCTGTGCAAAAAATGTTATAACATGAAAACAAATAAAAAAGTTTCTTTTAAATACAGGCCTGTATGACGGAACATTACAATTTTTTCATAGCTGACAAGGTATTTAGCGTTTTGTATTGCCCTACCTGTGTCCTTTCGGCGTCCCGTTTCCTCTCGTTCAATGCCTCAGCTAAAGCCTCCAGCCGCGTCAGTGCCCGCTGTAGCGCCACTCTGTCGGCGTGGCCTGGCGGCGTGTGTTTTAAGAGGTCCTGCGATGTCATTAATGATTTCTTTGTTAAATTTTATCAAATATCTAAAATAACAGAGACTATAGTATCAAAAATACTTTTATTACTTTCGTTATTACTGTATTAAATGAGATGTTCCAGTATGTATGGAGTCTGGGCCAGGTCCTTGTACATAATACTCAAAAATAGGGAAACATATTTTAAACGGTTCTCATCTGTCCAATTATTTTATAATTGCTTTGTTTGCTGGTAAAGCACAGGAAATTACACTCGAAATTGCAACACACATTAAAAACTCGTCATGGCGGTAAGCTGTCATTTTTATTGATTAGTGACGTTTGGGATAAAGAAAGTTGAAGATCTGTTCAGGCTAGCCCTGAACAAAGAAGAATATAGAAGAATGATTGCCAACCTTCAGTAATGGAGAGACACTAAAAGAAGAAGAAGACGTTTGAAATGTTTATTTTAAGTATTTTTTTTATTTTATAGAATAGGGAGGGTGGGGTTTCTTGGCTCTACAGTAACACTTGTGATAACTAACAGTTCTCTTTCTATTATCATTGGTCGCTTTTTTGTTTATTGTCATTGTCTATAAGCACAGAGTAATTAAATCGATGAGACGCCAAAGTCGATAAAAATAATTGATAAACATTAATTGTTTACCAGGACCAGGATACATTTAAATGAATTATCTGTATTTTTCCCGAATTCTACAGAATTTTCTCTTTCTTTGAGGTACTGTACATAGACCTGGCCAATTTTGAAACATCTGCTTTATATAACTAATTTTACAGGTTTAATCAGGATTATTTTTCTTATTTTTATACTCCCGATGTTTCTAGCATTATGAACCACACGAGATCGTGGGGCACTGAGGCGTTTAATGACCAGAAGTTATGTTCACCTAGCATATCAATCAGGTCCTGTTTGTACAATCAACTCAGAAAGAGGTCACAGTATTATAATCTTGCAGTGGTATTTTCAGATTTCGCTTCTATTTTAGTAGCATTCAGCAATATTTCCCATTTAAATTAGGATGATTTTAACTTCAATAATCTCAAGTAGTTTAGTTCAATGTATAGTATTCAAGGAAAGATGAGGCTTGAATGTCATTTATTAGATGTGATATTTATGATGTGGAGACTAAGAACGTACCTGCAAAAACATGATGAATTGTGGAAATCGCTGCACCGGTTTCACCATGAGGCCGAAGAAGGAAAGTCTGTCATGGGCGCTGATCTGCTTCACTTTGAAAAAATCCGCAAGCGCAGACTTGCGTTTCGACTCCATCTTGGCCAGTTCCATCGCTAATGAGAAGTTGTTTATGAAGTCCGAATACACGTCGAGCACCACCGCTTTTGAGAACGCATTCAAGAAGACCTCGCCTGCGGAAATGATGAATTATGTTAAAAGGAACTTCGTTTTTAATAAAAAGATTTCGGTTTAGTAGGTATACGCCATTTTTAAAGTAATTAAAAGGGACGACTAAAAGACGTGTTGTTCTGACGAGTGTTTAAAAATATCATAAATAATATGTTCTTTTTTAAATAAAATTGAAGTGTCACACGAACTTACAGTAATCTGAAAATAAGTGAGCACAACTCCATACAAAGAAGGTTACAGATGCGTTCTTCACATCTGAGCACTTAAACCTAATGCAATGCCGCACAGCCAGTAATTATACTGGTATTCTATACCCTTCAGACCTGAACACAACAGTGCCCACCAGATGGAATCAGGACGGACTAGGCAAAATAAACTTCGCACCGGAACACAACAGTGCAAGCACTGCGATCTGGCGGCAGAAATAGATAAGAGCGTGGTACCTACCAGATGAACTCAGGACGGACTAGGCAAAATAAACTTCGCACCGGAACACAACAGTGCAAGCACTGCGATCTGGCGGCAGAAATAGATAAGAGCGTGGTACCTACCAGATGAACTCAGGACGGACTAGGCAAAATAAACTTCGCACCTGAACACAACAGTGCAGGCACTGCGATCTGGCGGCAGAAATAGATAAGAGCGTGGTACCTACCAGATGGACTCAGGACGGACTAGGCAAAATAAACTTCGCACCTGAACACAACAGTGCAGGCACTGCGATCTGGCGGCAGAAATAGATAAGAGCGTGGTACCTACCAGATGAACTCAGGACGGACTAGGCAAAATAAACTTCGCACCTGAACACAACAGTGCAGGCACTGCGATCTGGCGGCAGAAATAGATAAGAGCGTGGTACCTACCAGATGGACTCAGGACGGACTAGGCAAAATAAACTTCGCACCTGGAAACACAACAGTGCAAGGCACTGCGATCTGGCGGCAGAAATAGATAAGAGCGTGGTACCTACCAGATGGACTCAGGACGGACTAGGCAAAATAAACTTCGCACCTGAACACAACAGTGCAGGCACTGCGATCTGGCGGCAGAAATAGATAAGAGCGTGGTACCTACCAGATGAACTCAGGACGGACTAGGCAAAATAAACTTCGCACCTGAACACAACAGTGCAGGCACTGCGATCTGGCGGCAGAAATAGATAAGAGCGTGGTACCTACCAGATGGACTCAGGACGGACTAGGCAAAATAAACTTCGCAACGGAACACAACAGTGCAGGCACTGCGATCTGGCGGCAGAAATAGATAAGAGCGTGGTACCTACCAGATGGACTCAGGACGGACTAGGCAAAATAAACTTCGCACCGGAACACAACAGTGCAGGCAGGCCTGCGATCTGGCGGCAGAAATAGATAAGAGCGTGGTACCTACCAGATGGACTCAGGACGGACTAGGCAAAATAAACTTCGCACCTGAACACAACAGTGCAGGCACTGCGATCTGGCGGCAGAAATAGATAAGAGCGTGGTACCTACCAGATGGACTCAGGACGGACTAGGCAAAATAAACTTCGCACCTGAACACAACAGTGCAGGCACAGCGATCTGGCGGCAGAAATAGATAAGAGCGTGGTACCTACCAGATGAACTCAGGACGGACTAGGCAAAATAAACTTCGCACCTGAACACAACAGTGCAGGCACAGCGATCTGGCGACAGAAATATATAAGAGCGTGGTACCTACCAGATAGACTCAGGACGGACTATGCAAAATACAAGTCCTACCACCTAGTATACGCAACGTGTACGCGAGTTAAACCGACGATGGTCACCGCCGATATTCTTGAAATTTACATGAAAAACGTGTATACAGGAATGTCTCAGAAAAATAATATTTCGGCAGATCTGTAAAGCCTGCTAATTCGTACAAATTTAGTGCGTGGGTCTGTCCGCTAGTTATTTTGGAGTGTGTATGACAGCAAAAAGCTTGATTCTCACCAATTTTTTCGTCGCGGTCCCACGTGCGCGCGCAGTCGGCGAGCGCGGTGCGGAAGTGAAGGTGGCATTGCAGGATGTCGGGCAACCGGTGGAACAGCGTCTGGATCTTGCTCGCGTTTAAGATCACCGGACTGCTCTCCTCTAAAGGTTTCTTGTAGTCCTGGTAAGCAAGGTTTGAGTTCAATATATCAAACTTATTATTTACAAGAATAACAAAATCAAGAGATCTTGTAATTTTGAGTTAAGTTAAGAACTTAACTCAAAATGACATTCTTAATAACGCCTAAAACAATGCGTGAAAGATTGTAAATATCGTTTATTTAGCAGTTCATAGCTCATAAGAGACGAGCTGCAAAATTTAAAACACTACAAAATTACCATCTTAAGCATAGACTAATATAAGACTAAATACTAATTACCTCTGAGATCATTATTTCACTGTTTTAAAAAACGGGGAATTAAGATGTTTATATTTTGATTAAAAATTATTGCAATAAACTGTCATTGAAAAGGCAGTTTTATAAAGAAAACTATTTAAACAGGTAAGGCCAATTTTATTAAGTCTATTCATAATCGGGAAATATGGACTAATGCTAAAATATATGAACCTATATAAATGAGAGTCACGCGGCGGATTGCCCCTATTACACATAGTTATAAATTCAGCCTTGTCACCTATAATAGTGCCTGAATTAAAAACGTTGAATGTTTTGCGTTTAATGTAATGAAATGAACTTAAGCTACATACATGACAAAAATTTAATTTTTTTTTTAATCATACCTTTTTTCAAAAGAATTTTTTTTAAGAAAGGTTTCTTTATAGGATACATAACAGCGTCAGTCATCATTTTCATGTTAAGAAAGGGAGTTCCCACTCCCTTCCCGAAAGTTATTTTTAAGGTTTTTTATATCTCAGAACAAATTACGGCATCAATATCCCATAATAATAAAGTCCTGCAGGTCGCAAATCGGTCGTGGCGGCCAGTCTCAACGGAGACAAGCCAACTGCGCAGATGAGAGATAGGATATGCAGTCGATGCATGCAGTCGCCACAGGACTGTGCTTTGTGGCAATACTTGGGAAAGGCCTAAGTCCTGCAGTGCAGATAATAAGTTATCAATATCGGCACTGTCACGTATGAAACCTGTCAAGAGTCGCACTACGACAAATCCTCAATGGAATCGAAGCAATTAAATTACGGGCTGATGAATTAAAATCTATTCAATTTGCTTCCATGTGTGTTTTTGTAACATTACTAGCAATCCCTCCCGGCTTTGCACGGGCCCAAATGTGAATCTAAACCATTAAAATACACACAAAAAATTTCATCAAAATCGGTCGAGTCGTGTTTTGGTTTTAGCGGGCCAAACGAACGCCAATTACTTTTTTTATATATGGAGAAGATATAAAAGGTCGTAATATTTTATTACATTACCACGTCCGTGCGAAACGTAAGTAAATAAAACACCTACTATATATTGTGAAAAATTTAAAGACCAATGAAAATCATTGGGACATTCAAGTAGCACTTTGCATTTACCTCGAACTTTGTCGTTTAGAAACGAACACAAAAACTTGTTACGTCGTCATATCGCATCATCTCTCGAAATAGTATCCAATATGTTTTGTTTGCAAATGTTGTTCAACGTTCGTGTATTGACTGTAAGTGAACTTGGCAATATAAAAGACAAATTATATTTAGACACACACATATCTAAGTTACAATACAATCAAACATATTGAGTAAGTGTTAGTATTGAGAATAAATTTATGTGACGCACATTTAGATGAAGATGATTGAAATTGTGAAATCGCATCATCAACATGGTCAATTTTATATAAATAGTATTGTTTGGTTGTGCTATTTACTGTACTATGTACTGGACCAGTCACGTAGCCCGAAGAACCGACAACCGATGGGGAAGAAAGGTTAGATAAAGTGTAGGGCGGCATTATTTAAATTTAGATTGTTAATCGATCAGATCAGATGTAGGTGTATAGGCCACAGCATTTCTATTGTTTGTCAGCAACCGCCTCGTTGGTCTAATGGTTGTAGCAGTGCGACTGCTGATCATGAGGTCTCGGGATTGAATCCCGGGTCGGGCAAAAAAATCAGTTATTGAGTTTTTCCATTAAGAAATTTTCAGCAGCAGCTCGGTGTCAGGAAGTTAGCGGTGTCTAGATGAAGTGAAAACCTGTTATATGCAGGATGTCGATGGATGCAGGTGGCTAAGGGACGTGCTTTTGATTCATTCCTTGAGGGAGGTGTACGTTCAAGAGTAGACTTGTGTGAACATTGATAATATTTTCTGTATCAAACTAAATTTACATAGTAAAAGACAGTTAAGGCGGCTCGTTTTGTGGATTGCAAACAATTATCAGAGGGCAAAATACTTTAACAGTTACCATTCGATTCTTGAATAACCTAACATCAGACGAAATGTAAACTAGCGACACCATTTAATAAAGCGATGGCCCCGTACAGTCAACTTGCAAATAATGTCTATTCAAACTGCCCCACTTCCTAATATGCAAATTTATTCAGTGTAAAATGAGCGAACAATGTAAAAGTAGGCCATATAACTTTTATTATTCATTTCGTTATCTGTGAAATTTTGACAATTATCGTGTCACTTGTCTTACAGTTTCTTGGTTTGAAGACACTAGCGAGGACAGGTTGTTATTGAAAAAAAAAAAAACACAATTTCTAAGCCTTATTTTATTTTTATTTTTGATGACTTAATTAATTATATTATTATTATTAAACTCTACTACCATCCACCCGTTACCACTAAAGCCTTTATAAGTCCACTACTGAACATGGACCTCTCCCACAGTTTCCACGTTTTACAGGCGGGTTGGCAATCGCAGTTTTAAGTTGCTATCAGGAAGATGATGCTGCACACACACACACACACGCACACGCACACGCACACGCGCACACACACACACACACACACACACACACACACGCCGCCCCGCGCGCGCGCGCACGCACGCACGCTATCAACTCAGAAGTTGTAGTGTAGTCCTCACGACACATTGGTTGAGTATTTAAGAAAATAGCCTAATTAAAGATATAGAAATAGCAAGTTCCGCATTGACTGACAACTTCCACATTACGCGGCAAACCAGCTGGGATTCTTTAATACGTTTCACCATGAGCACAAAGCAGTGATAGTAAATTTGCAACTGACGCAGATTATGTAACGGTTGTGTTTATTTTTTGTATCTTTAAGTAAGTACTTTCTAAATCTATTTAAATAGAGAAATCACTAAACAAGTACCTGCGAAAAATTTAAGTACCGCGCAATGCATCCGGACGCCTTATTCTAATTGATTCTATCGACACCTTTCACTGTTTCAAGTGACGTTTTATGGGTATTGTTTACGTAATATTAAAGAGCTTAATTCAGTAGAAATTTGAAATTGGTAGCTGTTTAATAAGATATTTTAGTCTTACTGAAAAACTAAAGTCCTCACTCACTGGTAACTTCATCACGTGGGTGTCGTAAGTGTTAAAACGCGAATGTGGGATGCGCCAAAAAGATCGCATAACCGAGCATATCTATATAGCCATATCGTTTACGCCAGACAAACTATCCAGACCGGCGAAGAGGAGTAGCGTCAAATGCGAGACGTCTAGTACTGCGAACTCCAACTTCCCTACCCAACGTGACCAATAAGGTCACGTTGGTTAGGGAAGTTGGAGTTCGCAGTACAGTAAATAATTCTCCCTCTAATGGAAGGACCCTATGTCCAGCAGCGGGTATTATCGGATGATGATGAAGATGATATTATGTAAATGTTCTTATGTGGTAATTACACCCTTTTGAAATTTAAGTTTAAATATTGATGAAGATGATATTATGTAATGTTCTTGTGGTAATTACACCCTTTTTGAAATTTAACGTTTAATATTGATGAAGATGATATTATGTAAATGTTCTTATGTGGTAATTACACCATTTTTGAAATTTAACGTTTAAATATAGTACCTGCAGGTAATAAGACCTAGCTAAGGGAAATTCGTAAAAAAAAAGGTGAGAAATATCCAATTTGGTCTACAGATTTTAATAAAATTAAAAATTATTGGCTTAGTATAGTTTCTATAAAGTATGAACGAAAAATTGTAACATTTACCATAAATAAAAAAAAAAACACTTCTAAGAACCTTATGTTATTATGGTAGGGTAATAAGGCTGACCGTTTTAACGAACTCAAATACTTAAACTATACGTAATATATTTAATATTTGTGATCAATAATCACATGAATGCAGCAATTAAGATTTAAAGTTCTAAAAAACTATAAATTTCCCCGCCTGACACCCTGAACTATAATGATGAACAAACTGATGAACAAACGCACTCCTCATGATCGTCATCACTGCGTCGGTTGTCTCGAGTTGAGATGGTGTTAAATTGAGTTGGGTTGAGTGTCCTCCCAACCGAATGTTTGTCACATCTACAACAATAACTGTACCACAGGCTAGTAGCCTCCACAGAGAGTGAGCCGCCAGCACAGTGCAGCACTATAGTGTCCGGAGGTATGCGTGAGCGCAGGGGCACTCTTTATTCCCTTACAATTAACAAAACGCAATCTGACACGGTCCGAGAGAGCTTAGGCACCGGACCAATAAATTTTCACATAACTTAATGGCTTCTAATGTCAAAGCCTTAGTTCTCCGACACACTTTGTCTTTGCACTGTTTGGACAGCTGAAACCAATCGTTTTCTGACTATAACATTAGTTTAGTAATAAAAGCGTATGATTTATTTGCATTTATAACATTTTTAAAAATGATATAAATACATAATAAAACCAAAAAAAAAAACTGCACACGAAGAGTGAGTATAATAAGGTCTATGGTGTAATTTAGTAGTTTTTTTTTTAATATGATTTGGAGACAAACGAGCACACAGTCCACCTGATAGTAAGTGGTTGCTGTGGCCCATATACATCTACGATCCTCGATTACGAATCAAAATGCAGATGCGTTGTCACTCGTGAGGGCTAAGATGGAATGCCTCGTTTTCAGTAAAAAGAGTCTCGTAGTCCTTAATAATCTCAGACAGGTACTTAAGAAAAACCAAATTTAAAAACAATTACGACGATACGTTATTCAAATCTTCAAGATCAACAAAGCATTTATTGACA